ATACGAAGTTATACGCCCAGGCCCGGCCATCGCCGCGGGCCGGGCCGGGCGCGGCTGGGAGGGGCCGTGAGGCCCGGTCCTCCGCGGCGGGGAACCAGGCGGCAGCACTAAGCGCAGCCGCGAGCGGCCCGGGTCTTCCGCTTCCTGCACGTGACCCTCCCCGGGGCGCTCCCCAGCGTGCGGTGGTGGTCTTCAGAGTGCCTGGTGGTCTGTGGCGAGCGTGCTGGCGGGTCCAAGCGGAGTCCGGAGCTCCAACGCGCACGCGGCTCGGGGTACGCGGGCGCGTCTGTGGTCCTAGAGTCGCCCCCCGTACGGTGTGACTGGGGCCGCAACCACAGGGAACTGGGAGCGCTGCTGCACCGAAAGCCCCGCAGCGGACGGACCCCTGCACTACTCCTCGGCGGGATCGCTTGGAGGCAGCTGGGTCGGGGTGCGACCCCACGCGGCCCCCGCCTCCCACCGCCCGTGCCCCGCCCCCTCCTCGTCCAACCAGCCACAGCCCTTACCGCAGCCTCCGCGGAACCCTGGCAGCTCCGAGAACTCTGGGAAAGTTTCTCTTCGCCTCCCAGCGGAGCGGAGGCAAGACGCGAAGCAGCTCGCCAGCGGTGACCGCGCCCCTCCGTTCTCGTTCTTTGATTGGTGCTGGGGGTCGTCTGTCAGCGCGCCCCTCCGTCCGTTAGTTCCGATTGGCCACAGGGGCCGTCTGTCAGCTCCGGGGGCGGCGCTTCCCCGGCCGCGGTGGGGCGGGGCTTGCGGAGGAAGTCCTTGGCCCTCTGGGCTCCTGATCCTGGGGAGGAACTGGTAGCTGGCGGTGACCCGGCTGTCCAGCTGTGCGGGCTCAGGTGCGGAGCTCCGCAGTGCGTGAGGCCTTAGACGTGGCAGGGGCGCGTGGGTGTTTTGGTGTTTGTTTGTCTGGGTGTGTGTGTGTTGGGACTGAGACTTTTTGGGGTGACATGGGGCAGACTGTCTCAACCCCTTTAAATCTGACTCTGAAATACTGGACTGATGTGAAGGCCAGGGCTCATAATCTGTCTGTACAGGTTAAAAAGGGTAAGTGGGTAACACTTTGTTCTTCGGAGTGGCCGACTTTCCAACTCGGGTGGCCCGTGGAAGGCTCCTTCTCTCCGCCGTTGATCATGGCGGTGAAGAGAAAAATTTTTGGTTTCAATTCTAGAAGTCACCCAGACCAGGTCCCTTATATCATTGTCTGGGAAGATCTGGTTACGGACCCTCCTTCGTGGGTCCGTCCCTTTGTTCCCCTAACAGGTCCATAGGCTGTGTTTGCTCTTCAAGAGATGAAAAAGAAACCGGAGATCCTACCTTCCACTGAATCGGAAGCCTGCCTGTCAGCTCCACCAGAGGAAGGGAGGGACCTGCGCAGGGGACGCATAGTGGGCGAGCAGCCCTTCCGGAGGCTGTTCCCACCCTCCCTCTGCGGGCTTATGGCCCTCCTGATGAAGAGGGCAACCAGCCCTTATAGTACTGGCCTTTCTCCTCTTCCGATCTTTACAACTGGAAATCTCAGAATCCCCCTTTCTCTGAAAACCCCCAGGGTCTCTCTAACCTTGTAGAATCCCTCCTCTTTACTCATCAGCCCACCTGGGATGATTGCCAGCAGCTCCTCCAGGTCCTGTTCACCACCGAGGAGAAACAACGAATCCTCCTGGAGGCTTGAAAGAACGTTCCAGGAGATGATGGGTGACCTACCCTCCTCCCTGATGATATAGATACAGGATTCCCGTTGACCAGACCAAACTGGTATTTCAACTCAGCAGATGGTAGGGAGCACCTGAAGGTCTATCACCAAGCTCTAATGGCAGTCTCAGAGGGGCAGCAAAACGCCCCACCAATTTGACTAAGGTAAGAGAGGTACTCCAGGGGCCCAATGAGTCTCCGTCAGCATTTCTGGAAAGACTCATGGAGGCATTCCGTCAGTTTACCCTGTATGATCCTAGTAGTGAGGAGCACAAGGCTACAGTGACAGTTGCTTTTATTGACCAGTCTAGTAGAGACATCAGGAAGAAACTGCAGAAACTTGAAGCCCAGCTTGACAAGATAAGTCATTGAGGGAATTAGTGCAGGTGGCTGAAAAGTTTTATCATAATAGAGAGTCAGAGGAAGAAAAAGAGAGAAAGCAGAAAGAGTGGGAGGTTAAAGAAATAAAGAGAGAAAAGCGCCAAGAAAGAAATCACAAAATTCTGGCCACTGTAGTTAGGGAGACTAGGGAACCTAGTAAGACAGTACTGGGCAGCAAGAAGGAGCCCCTAGCAAAAGATCAGTGTGCATTCTGCAAGGAAAAAGGAGCTCAGCCAGTTCTAGCTAAATGTAAACATTAAACTAAAACTAAAAAAAAAAGGAAAAAAAAAGAACAGGAGAAAAGACACTGGGCTCGAGAATGCCCCAAGAAAAGAAGAAAAAGCCTCAAGCCCCCAAAGTCTTGGCCCTGCAGGAAGACAGTGATTAGAGGGGACGGGGTTCAGACCCCCTCCCCGAACCCAGGGTAACCCTTACAGTGGAGGGGAAGCCCACTCAGTTCTTGGTAGATACTGGGGCTCAGCATTCAGTGTTACTGCAAACAGATGGACCCCTCTTAAATAAAAAAAATCGTGGGTAAAAGGGGCTAGAGGGAGCAGACAATACCCATGGACTACCCAAAGAACGGTGGACCTAGGTGTGGGCTGGGTATCCCACTCGTTCATTGTCATTCCTGAGTGCCCCTACCCACTGCTGGGAAGAGACCTCCTAACCAAAATAGGTGCTCAAATTCATTTTGGCCCTGAGGGACCTCGGGTGTTAAATCAACAAGGAAAGCCTCTCCAGGTACTAACTCTAAGGCTGGAAGATGAATACCAATTGTTTAAAAAAAAAAACAAGAGCGGGAGACCAGACAGATGAACTGGTGGTTAGAAAACTATCCCCAGGCGTGGGCAGAAACTGTAGGGATAAGGAAGGCTAAAAACCAGCCCCCGTTCACATAGAGCTGAAGGCTCAGGCCAGTCCTATAGCCGTCCGACAATACCCAATGTCCCGAGAGGCACACAAAGGCATCCAACCCCACATTGCCCAGTTGCTCCAGCTAGGGATCCTATGGAAGTGCCAGTTAGCCTGGAACACACCCTTACTACCGGTCCAAAAACCTGAGACTAATGACTACTGACCGGTCCAAGACCTCCAAGAGGTAAACAAGTGAATGGCCAACCTCCACTCCACAACTCAGGAAACTGCCACCATCGTGGTCAAGAAAATCCTGGAAGAAATCTTCCCACGCTTTGGGGTACCCAAGGTAATTGGGTCTGACAATGGGCCTGCCTTCGTTGCCAAGGTAAGCCAGGGAGTGGCCAGATACCTAGGGGTCAATTGGAAATTGCATTGTATCTACAGACCCCAGAGTTCAGGACAGGTAAAAAGGATGAACAGAACTCTAAAAGAGACCCTGACTAAATTAACCATGGAGACTGGCATAGATTGGGTGGTGCTCCTTCCCTTGGCCCTGTTTAGAGCTAGAAATACCCCCTCCCAGTTCAACCTGACCCCTTTTGAAATTCTCTATGGTACCCCTGCCCCCTTGACCTTACTGGGGGACACCTTTGAACCTACTTGCCACAGTAACAGTGACTTATATGCCAGGTTAAAAGGACTGCAAGCAGTGCAGAAGGAAGTCTGGACACAGCTGGCGGCCGCCTACAAGCCTGGGACCCCCGAAGTTTCTCACCAGTTCCAGGTCGGAGACACAGTCTATGTGAGACGAAATCGCTCCCAGACTCTGGAATCCCACTGGAAGGGACCTTACTTGGTGCTCCTAACAACACTGACGGCCGTGAAGGTGGACGGGATCTCCACTTGGATCCACGCCTCGCATGTAAAGCCTGCACCACCAGCCGAGGACCAAGGATCAAAAAAACGCTACCTGGAGGGTCCAGAGTTCCAAGGAGCACCCCTTAAAACTCAAAATCGCTCAGACTGGGGGTACAAACATCGTGAATGTTGTAAGATGAAAATTTTATTTTTTCTCTTTCTGTACCTGGTGGTCTTTCCCCAGAACCTGGAAGCTTCCAGGCCACATACCCCTCGGAAGTTAACTTGGTATGTTATAAATGGAGTAGGGGATACAATTTGGAACTCATCCAAAGTCACCTTGGGGTTATGGTGGCCTGATCTGTTTCCTGATGTGTGCAAATTGGCCCTGGGAGCCCCACCCAATTGGGATTTAGAAGAATACTTTAATAGCCACAAACCCCCTGTCACCCCCAGCCCACCAGACCATCCTGGGATATCAGGAAGGGTAGGTTGCGCAACCCCTTCTAGAAGGAGTCGGCTAAGTGCTCTCACCTTTTATGTATGCCCTGGGTTCCACCGCGACAGGAAACTCAGCTCCCGGTGTGGAGGAAAAGCAGATTATTTCTTCAAGAGCTGGGGGTGCGAGACCACGGGAAACACATATTGGAGTCCATCATCATCCTGGGACTATATAAAGGTAACTGCTAATTATACCCACCAAAAGACTGTCCTTGCCTGCAAGGGATGGTGCCACCCCCTCCGAATGTCCTTCACGGATTCAGGAAAAAAAGCCATCGGATGGGAAAAGGGATTTACATGGGGACTAAGGTTTTATAAAACAGAATATGATGATGGGCTGTTATTCACCATCAAGCTCAAAGTAGAAACCCAGTATACCACCATAGGCCCAAATGAATACTTAGCCCCAGTGGGACCTCCAATGGTCAA